AATGATTCTGTTTTGTGAATTTTTGAAGTAATCTCTTTTTGTGAAATCATTCTTTGTGCAATCTTCCCAGACAAATGAGTGTGCAAGCAGAGGAGGTGCCTGCAAAGCCAGCGCTAAGAAGGACTGCGTCATACTCCAAGGGAAGTGTGAGAACGACCAAGTCTGCTGCCAAAAAGGTGAGTTTGCTGTGCACACTTGATGAAATATGTTAATTCTAAATAATAGAAGTCGAAGGTATTTAATACTCTACATGATAATGAGAGATAGAGAGGGGGAAGGGGGGGTTCATTACTTCAGTTAAAAAAGGTCTATAGTATACAATTACTAGGCGTACCTGACCTCTATTTACCCAAATCCACGAACTTACTGATTTTTTTTTTTTTATCACTATCATTAACTGAGGACGTTATGGTAATAATAACAATGATAATGATGATGATGATAATAGTAAGTATGATAATGATAATAGTAATAATATAATAGTGATGATGATAATGATGACTGATGATGAGAACGATATTAATAACAGCAATAATAACGTTATATGGATATTAATAGCAGTTGAAAATTCAAGGGATGGTCCAAGTAGGTAGACACCTTATATACATAAAATCTGAATTAATAAAACAAAGCAAAGGTGTATTAATTGAAACCATCGGGTTCAGAAGCCTATTGTAATACCACTAATTGTACACCAAGAAGGCTGTACTATAGCGCTCATTTTCTTTTGTCTTACCTACTCGGAAAAGTGAAAAATATATCCAAATGCCGGATGGCGGTCAGTTGTCCACTAATTGATGTAAATAAAGAGATCATTCATGTCCTATGAATGATTCAACCATAATGTCTAGGAATTACAATTGTTCAACAAATTGTTGTTTTATTTTCTAAATCAACATTTATCACAGGTGTCCGTAGTTGTTCCCTTTGTCGCAACTCGTGTGGAGTTGGATCTGGTGCTGTTGTTAATGTTGGCAGCCGCTGCTACCTTATGACCGGGCACTGACAGTCTGTTGTTGTTCCTGGAGATAGAGTAATTAGAATAAATGCCATAATTCAAGGCCATGATAACCTTCAGCATTAATAATATTTTGGGAACTGTTTCCCTCCCTTTACTCTAGCATATATCCCTTGTTTTCCCATTTGTGACCAAATGCTGGTTGGGATTCTGTTCACAGTGCGGCACTTCCACTGGTCCTCTCTTAATGCTGGTGAATAGTGTATGAAGACAGTCATTCAGTAATTCATTATAAATATATATATATATGTGTGTGTGTGTGTGTGTGTGTGTGTGTAATGTGTATATAACGAGAAAGAGAGGGGGGGGGGAGAAGCAAGGAAAAGTGAATTAGATGAAAATAATGCTTATCACTTTACAGACAATAGACTGCAGAAGAGAAAGTGTCGACCGAAGAGACCCTGCACCAAAGAAGGGGGCGAATGTATACCAATGGAGGAATCTTGTTTGAAGATCACCAGCGATGGCCTCTGCAAGGGTGCAAGTTGCAAATGCTGTTTAGGGAGTGAGTATTGGTGTACTTTTGCCCTCAAAAATACCCAAGTCCCAAATTTTCTCTTTGGTTATGAGGTGGTAGCATTTTAGAACCTCTTTTACTAAATTCACAAGTGTATGCAGTTTACACATCAACACGTTTCTTTTAGCAATTATGAAAATGTTGCAGGACTTCCTCACTACATTTCCTGTCAAAGTAATTTGCATTTATTCATTAGACACATGATTTAACAAATTGTGATATAAAACGATGAAATTAGTTGATAACATTACAATATATATATATATATTGTATATATATATATATATACATGTATGTATTTATGAATATACATGTGTTTATAAACATATATTTACAGATAATCCTTCTTGCACCACCACTCCGGGGTGTCACCTCCAGGGAGGGTTCTGCTTCAAGAATTCTGGAAATGATTTGTGCGCAGATGGCACCATCCTCAGCGATGAATGTGAGGGAGCCAATTGCGCCTGTTGTATTCCCAAGACAGGTCAGTCAAATTTTCGTATTTATAGATTTGGATTTTTACAGTTTGAAAATACATGTTTTACTTATGGTTAATTATCCATGCGTTTTTTGACACATCCATGCCATTGCAGGTTCTTGCGAGTGTGGCGTGGCAAATGACGTCCGTATCATAGGAGGTGAAGAGATATCTCCTCCGAATAAATATCCTTGGCTCGTTGGTTTGCTTCAGTCTGAAACAGTTGAGGATGGGTTTTCCTGTGGCGGATCTATCATCAGCCCGAACTACGTGCTAACTGCTGCACACTGTCTATTTGATGAAGACGATCTGGCCGTACCAGCAGAGGAACTTCAAGTAGGAATTGCTAACCACAATTTCAATTCTGAAGATGACGACATACCGGGCGTCACTCAGGTTGTGGATGTGGAAAGTTACATCACCCATGAGGATTACATTCACGGGGAGCTTTCTGATTTCAATAATGACATCGCTCTCATACTTTTGAAGGAGACATTGGATCTGACATCATACCCACAAGTTCGACCAGTGTGTCTTCCTTCTGACCCGAACACGAAGTATGAGGGACAGACTGGGATCATGGTAGGCTGGGGAGACACAAAGAACGGGAAAGGGGCATATCCCGATGCTGCCAGGGAGGTCAACTTACCCATCAAGGACTGTAAGCGTAAATTAGGTGGTGTTCTAATCACCCCCCAAATGATGTGTGCAGGGAAGAAGAAGTCAAAAACAAGGGCGCAAAGGGTATCTGTTTTGGCGACTCTGGAGGACCCCTTTTCGTGAAGGAAGACGGGAAATACACTCAGGTGGGGATTGCCTCCTTTGTGACAAGTTGTCTTAAGCCCGCGGTGTTCGCTCGAGTCACCGAATTTCTCACGTGGATCAGCGATAACACTCCTGGTGAGACTTTCTGCCAGTAGTATTGCCTGGTATGTGAAAGCAGGTGCATATAACCATACATATTTAGCTTTTGTCTAAAAAGATCATGTAATAACGAGTCTCTGTTATCATATCTTGCTTTCATGTTTCCCAAGGACTCTTTCCTTTGTATGCAAACGCACGTGATGTACTTCAGCAAGAAATATATAGTTTCAGCATGGCAAAATAATGATTTTCCTTCATGAGATTGTCCGCATCTTCATTTGCAAAATTGCCTATGCATTTGCCTGTGCTACCATGGGGTATATGGGAATCCGAGGAACACACACACACAGGAAAATAAAAGATAAGATTTTTGGGAGAATCTTAATGTACAACAGTCTAATTCACTATGTCTTTTAGTGGGTAAATTACAAAACTATCCTGTTGGGGTGTCCATGGATGTCATGGTGGTGGGTAAACAGGCAGAGCACACGAGGATAGAATAAGATTCGGAACTGGGTTTGTTGTTGTTCTGCCTCCAGTCGTTCTATATTCTGCCGCCAGGGGCGCTCAGACCACAGGGATCGTTCATATATGATAAAGAGTATAAAACGTCAACTAGTATATATATATATATATATATATATATATATATATATATATATATATATATATATATATATATATATATATATATATTTTTTTTTTTTTTTTTTTTTTTTTTTTTTTTTTCACTTTTATAAGTATACATATAAAATTCTGTATATAATCACATTATCATATTTATATATCATTGTTTTTTGATATGGGATAATCGGCCGGTTTGTTAGAATTGTGCATAAATAAAGATTTAAATGAATATTTATCACTCTAGACATGCATATCAACCCGGCAAATAGAAGGTTAAATGTATCTCTCAGATATATAGACAGATATGCCTTTATTTCTGCATCTGTAATTATGAAAATTCATCGGGTCGGGCCTGGCACAATTTTAGCAAACAGGCTGAATGACTAAAGTTTACTTTTACCCTAACACATCCATTTTTATGAATGGGGTGAAAACCCTAAATTGGCTGTAACAAAAAGCGTGATTAGCAGAATAGAAATAACCAATAAATTTATAAATATATATCTATATATCTATATATATGATTAGACACAAATAAGCCATTTAGTATTCCATTTATTCATTTAGGTGACTGTAAATCATGTAGTATGTCTCCGTTAGCTTTAAAATGGAATGCTTTTCAAATATGATTTCATGGAATTAGTTAAATTAGTCTTTTCTCATCAAAACTTTACTCAAGAAGTTTATAGTAACTAAATTCACACAAAATCTGCAAAAAATCTCAACCTGTATATAGCTATATTTTGTGCTGATTACATAGATAAATGTTTAGTGCCATCTACAAAATATCCTGTGCACCGTGGGTCCCAGAAACACCAAATGGAAGAGTTTACTAGTTAAATATTGCTGAAACAGTAACTATGTAAAGTGACATTTCTTCAAAAACTGAAAAAAAAAAACCTGAGAACGATTCATACAATATTTTAGACAGCTGACTATACTAACAACACTTTAGAGGCCATCAAACATTTTTAAGTTTGTGACTATTCCAATGCTCATAGAATATCACACTACTCTGCAGCATCATATTTTCCAAAGAACCATTAAGGTCATTATGAAATTTTGTGCTAAGCTCAGGTAGACATTGTAATTACGAAAAATGCAAAAGATTTCAAAATTGTAGTTTGACTTTTTCCTACATCATGCCTGTACTGTATGTAGGTACAGAGTGAATTATTTTTTCATGCATTTCAAGTTAACAGAATGACTAAAATAAATACATTTTAAAATTCTAGAGCATTTGTTTACTCTATGCACCAAATTTCAAATACATTGTAGTTATGCAAATATGCATTATTCATTTTTTAAAAGTACCTCATTTGGGGACCAAATGAGGAAAATTAGAAATCCCATTAAAATCAAAAGATAAGGTCTATGACAAAATAAATTGGAATGCGTTTATATCTCATGAAAGGGAACATTTGTACAAAATTTCGAGTGATACGGTGACATATGATGCAGAAACAAAATTTTGCTGGTAATTCGACATGGATGACCCTGTTGCGTATTATCAGGGAGAGGGAAAGTGATTTAGCGAAGTTTCCAGTTTCTCCCGGGCTGTGGTTTATATAGGTGGTTGAGGAAGGCAGAGCTGTCGTTCGAGGGGAAACCATTATAAACTACAGAAATATTTCCGTAATGTGTTTTTTGTCGATTTTGTGATTGAACATAGGACGAAAATGTGAGTTAAAATATCACCTGGTTTGTTTACATCGCATTCTTGTTATACTTGTACATTTTACTTATAACTTGTCACTGAGAAACGCCAAAGTAAGTTAACAAGAACGATGCTACTGGCCATCCGCGTCAAGATTTCTTTAAATTTTCATGAATTTCAAACAATTCATTTGGTAAGAAGACATTGCCGATACATACTGCATTTTGTCTCGTGTGAGTATTGTTCTCTATTGTGTGGATTATATAAAAAAGAGAGTAAAAAACAACAACATTGTTTATGCTGAAAATGGCATAGATACATTTAGTTTAGTCCCCCTACTTGTTCGTAGACTGAAGTTAGAAAACGGAATCACCTATACGAAGGAGAACTAATTTAAAAGGAAAATTTCAGGTATACGTTCTCTAGTAACGAGCTATATAGTTTAAGAGATTTTATAAAGATAAATCATCATATCAAAAAGACAGCTTTCAAAAACAGTGGCTGTCAAATATAAAAATAATTCTATTAAACTAAATGTAGCCACATTCTACAGAAAATGGGAAACTTTTCTAGTGAATGGTTATTAAAAAGTTTAGCATTGCAGTTGATGTGTAGCAACCATGACCTGCAACCTGTAGTTGTGCACAGTTGCCCAGGTTGGGTTCACAGGTCCACAGCCTTGTCCTCACTCACTCACCAGCAGGCATTTCTCAGGACTCACTTTCAGAACAAACTTTCTCCCAAAGGTTGATTAAATTCAGGGCCGAACCCAATCACAAATATGGTAGATTACGCTGTGCAATCGAATATTGCGCCGATAGATTTAAAAGGAGATAGTTAACACTAGGTTGAAAGTGTAAAAAAGTGAAAAAAAATTAAGAAGAAAAAATCATGCATGTGTGTGTGTGTGTGTGTAAGAGACTTGATGAGTTGCCAGTGTTTAATCTAAGATTTTACATTTTATAGCATGACGTGAAGGCAGAGAAAAAAAAAAGTTTCGCAAGTAATTGTGTGAAACATAACTGTAACACTTTATATCTTTTCACTTGTTTCTAGCAATCTTTCAGGAAATGTTTTTGTTTCAGAAATGAATGGGAATTACGAAAGTCAAAGAGGGAAAGTTTGAAGTCTTGAAAAATGAAAGGTCATTTTTCCTTTTTATTCTTTCGAGCCAGTTCGTTTCTCTTTTGGATTAATTATTAATCAGTCTTAAAAATGGCGCAGTGACTCTTTTCATATATATCATCTACCTTTCTCTATGACTCCCCTACCTTTCTCTAGAAAACACAGAGAAAGAGAGAGGGAGAGAGAGAGAGGGGAGAGAGAAAGAGAGTGAGAGAGAGACAGACAGACAACAGACAGACAGAGAGGAAATGGAGGAAAACAGGGATGGAGAAAAGACACAGACACAGACTAGGGGAGGGGGAGGAGAGGGAGGGGGTGGGTGTACCTGAAGCACAGAACGAGGGCTTATGGTCCTTCAACCCAGGGCGGCCCACGACTTCGGACACTGAATACATACGTGTGATGAATAGGTCGTGCTTGTGCGTGTGCGTGCAGGGAAACACATGTGGAAAATGACACACAAACAAACACGCATAACACTGCTAAGTTGGGCTTTTGCTTTAGTGGTTCCGTCTTTCACGGGACAACCGAAGCTTTCGCAGGGCACCCAAGGAGAATTTCATTGCAGTTGAAGATATTTGCGAGTGATTTCCTCCTGCCCGTAGGATTGAAGCAGAAGTCGCGATGGCCGATTTAGACACTTTCACCACTATGACTGGGTCAAAAGCCCAATTTCCTCCAGAGCAGCTGTCATATTTGCCCATGAGCACCAGGCAGTCTTCACTACAGCGTGCACAGCGTATCAGCTCTTACCGCCCCTGCAGCAGTAACAAAGTCTTAGCAAGCTGAAGATCGTGAAGAACTGCAGCATGACTTAAATGTTCTTGCATGCGAGAAGGACCTCACAGGCACGTTAAATTTAAAAGAGATTGTTAACACTTGGTCGAAGAATAATTGCGCCGCCTGTCCATAAAATGAGTCTTTCCTTGTTTAGCAACCAGATTCATTCTGACAAATCAATATAATTCCAAATTCATGAAGCCCAAATATATGACGGGAGATGTAAGCTTTATTACAAAGACAAATCAAAACTAACAATTATTTCACGCTCACTATAGACAGATAAATATTGCACAGGCAGTCATGTTTCAAATTTTGTTTTTATTGCTTAGAAATTCATCCTTAATGACAAATTTACATTGATAAAGCCTCTACTAGCAACCTATAGAAGAACGTTTGCTTCGAGGTCTGCAGGGCACCACTCTGCTTTGCAGGGAAAACCTCTTTCAACCCTCGAGAATTATTGGTCTAGTTAGATCCATGATGATATTGACTTTACATAACATTGATATTTTTTGTCAGAAGGCCTTGGAATCAACCTCTATGAGCCGCTTTACATTGGTTGGATCAAACCATACCTATACGTCTTTCTTCTTGAATGATAGCTGGTTTTGGAAAATAATAGTATATTAGAAAATGAATAAATTAGTTAATAAAAAAAAAAAGAAAAGAAAACACACAACTCGGATCACAACAAAACTCGCCAATATCCATATAGTGTCTACTCTCAGTAGCACACCAACATAATCTAAATACTGTTACTGCTCGACACTAGCTGTCCCCTTCGACACCGTTGAAGACTGTTCCCAGCCGCTTGGGGCAGCTGGTGGCGGCTGGGGACGCCACGCAGCGGTTGCCTCCTCTTCGATCTGTTGTGATCAGATCTGCAATTGGACAGCACACATAACTGCAACTGTTTCTCCCTCCTTCCATCATTCTCTACCTCCCTCCATCATTCTCTCTCTCTATAACTGAGTCAACGCGACAGATCGATCATAACCTGCCTCCGAACAAGAGGCACCCCCCCCCCCCCCTGCGATCTGATTGGCCATCCTGTGTGCCCCCAATGGTCACTAATTCGTCGTAATGTCAATATTTGTGTAAAGTTCTCTACCGACATCCACTTGGTAAAAGTACACCCAGCAGTTTTAGTGTGGCCAAGAAAAGCAAAATGAATAAAAAAACAATGTGAAACTGTACAATATTAATAGTGAAGTGGGCAGCCCCCACAGATTTATTGTTGTTACCCCTGTGCCCCCACCAGAAAATTCTCTGGACCCGCCCCTGCCCCTGTATATATCTCCACCTACATTTTACTACACTACACAAGTCCCCAACTTATTTTACCTCCACCACCCCCACCCCCCCAAAAAAACACCAACCCGAGCACACAACACTCACCCGCGTCTCCGAAGAGTCCGAGGCAGACATGGTTGAGGATTACATTCTCAAATGTCATTCTGACATGATCATTTGTTTTCAAAATTGGTATTATTAGAAATGCAACCTCACACCTAATTTAAAGAATCTGAGCTTACCAAATGGTAGAACACATCATTCTATGATAGTTTTCTTCTATACCATTTTCAGCGCAAATTGATAATAACGGTGTTATAGAGGGTATAAAACCCACGATTTCCTTGAGCCGCAGTAACCTTCCGCCTCCAGCGCCGCGACAAAATGACAAAAAGTCGTTAAGAGCGACGGGAAATCGGACGGATTTGTAGCGGATGACGTATGCGCGGGAAATCAAATGAGCCAATTAGCTTCGTGCGTGAACGTGACGTAGACACTCAATAGAACCAATCAGATATGGAATAGATCATCACGTGACAATAGAAGCTGGGCCTGGGAGAAGCCTTTTGAAATTCAAATCAGTTCCATCATGGCTAGATAGTGTGTAAGTTGTGAGAACATTTATTTCGATTTCACTGTAAAATATCAACAGAATAATGATCGGAGCAGCGGAGGTAATATAGAAAATTACCAAATATTGAAGCAAGATAACTAAATTTACATCACGGTGTACTGCCAGTGGAATTTCAATGCCCGCACTGTAAGCCATCGTGTCATTACAGAAATGACAAGACACCAGTGGGTTTGTGGTACATAGAAAAGGATTTAAAAAACAAACAAAGAAAGTAGTGTAACTTAACTGTAAGCGATCGCAATTCCCGCCAACAACGACCTGGAATACCCCGACGATCCCAGTGACCCGAAGTCTGACCCGTCTGGAGTTACAGCTGAAGGTAAAATGGGGATAAAACTGCTCCTGCCGAAACATGCGAGGTGAAGATTTTGCAGACCAGACAGGGGGGTTGGGAGGGCAGACAGACCAACCAGAAATGTGTTAATATTCTATGCTTACTAGTATTCTACCGATATTTCTCGAAATCCCCTGATATGTAGGCCTACCATGCCCTCCCAGATATCGAGACCAATATCGTAGTTATGCTTCGTTTGCGAAGGAAATGAGTGCTGGATTCGTTCGAAACGCGACGAAAGCTATTGGAAAATTATTCTGTTCATCCAAAACACGGAGTGGGGTTCCATTTCCAAATTTACCTCAAAATCTCTTAAACTAAATAGCTCATAGTACTAGAGGACGCATACCTGAAATTTTCTTTCACTTTCGCATGAAATGGTTTCGTTTTTTATCTTCACTCTATGAATTTATAGGGGGACTAAACTAGATATATTTATACCGTTTGAAGTATAAAAAGCACACACACACCACACACACACACACACACACACACACACACCACACACACACACACAACACACCACACACACCTATACTATATATATATATTATATATATACTTACTATATATTATACAACACCCACACAATAATTATATATATAATACTATACTATTTTAATATTATATAATATATATCATATATTATGGTATTATATTATTACTCATATATATTATAATATTATATTATATACATCATTATTATTTTTATCTAGTATTCTATTAATTATATATATCTATATTTTATATATATATACCTTCCTTTATAATACTATACTACAAAATATATATTATATAATTATGAATATGTACATGTGACAACACACCACACAGCTCTCACACCAGACACACACTCTCCATTCACACCTCAACTCCTCACTTCTCTCACACACACACTCACAGCCACACAGACACACACCCACACACAGAAACACCCATGCCCTATACCTACTTCACATACACCAACACACACACCTCACACACACCATCACACACACCTACTACACCTACCCACTATCACTACCCATCACACATCCACCCACTACACCATTACACACCACTCCCTCACACACTCATAGCACACTCACCTATCACTCCATCAAACCCACTTCACCACACTCAGATTAACATCCATGACCTCCCCCCTCTCCACCCCTTCTCTCTCTTATACTATCACCCTTCCCTTACTACCATCACCACAGCCACAGGATCCCTATCCAACCACACACACTTTTTCAGCACACACAGCGCCACACCTTAACCTCAGTATACACTTATATCCTCAACACTAACATTCTCTAACTCCCCCACCTATCGCTCTGTACATCTACTTTCCCTTCCTCTCATGCCTCTACCTAAATCGCTATCTGGTTCTTCCTTACTTCTGTTTCTGGACACTCGCCCCCACCCACTCTCTCTTCTTATACTCAGCTATTCGGTCCCTTTTACTACTCACTCTACACATACACCATCACACACACACCACACCCCTCACCCATCCACAAACCTACCTACACAGCCCACACACACACCACCACTTACACACACTCACACACTGCGCTACCCTACATCACTCACGCAACCACAACACACATGCTTCCCACCCGCACCACGCACGCACCACGCACCGCACTAACTCGTCAAACGCTTAATACCACACTACACCACCAAAATATAGTGTCTATATATACTTTATCTCCTTCCTTACCCTCGCTCATGTTATTCTTCGCTGATTATTTATCTTTATATATTTTCAAAGCGACTAGTAATAATATTATACCTCATCATCACCACTATCAATGTCTCTAGTCCTATATTCCACATTATTACTATATTTCACCTCCTCCATCCTTCTTATATACTATAATAAAATATAATATTTGTAATATATCTTATATATTACTTGAATCTCTACTTATCTCTTTTCTCACTTCCTCCTACCCATACCCCTATCTCCTCTATCTTTATCTCATATATTGTTGTGCTCTTGTGCTGCCTCTCGTGTGTGCCTTGGTGCGCTCGCTGTCTGTGTCTGTGTGTCTTCGCGTTCTCTGTGTTTCTTGCATGTGCTTTACTCCCAACGACCTCCTCTCCTCTCTTATTCTACATCCTTCGTCTTAACTCTTCTTCCCGTATTTCTTCTCGCTACTCTCAGGAAGACGTACATTTAGCGGTGTAACATCTACGATCAATCTCAACTACTTCCTATCTATAACATCTTGCGCCAAACCCACCCTCATACCAACTAGCTCTTACAGAGGTCTCCAGAATCTCGATATCCGATTACAATGAATAGCAGGTAACTGTCTTTATTTTACCACACTTATGCCTTCTTGCTTCTTTTGTCTCAGCTCACTCTGGTCTCATCTCCTACTCTCTTTATTAACATATCACTCCCTCCACTACCACACATTACTCGTTGTGCTCTTTGTCTCTGTGCTCGCCTGTGTCCTGTCGCCTGCCTTGTTGACCTATCCGACTCCCTTCTACTCACGATAGCACTTGACTTCTCTTATTCTACTCACTACCCCCCACCTCTACTCTCATCTATAGCTTCCTTTTACAACTTGGCCGGTCGGCGGTCGGCTGGCGGGCTCTGGGGTCTGCCTTCATAACCCTTTACTCAACGATTCCCAACCCTACCCTTCTACTCCTCTCTTCTTCACTTCACTCTTAAGCTCATCATTCCTCACATTCACTATCTGCTCCGGGCGTTGGTTAATAGGCTTTGTGCCAAGGCTCCGACCCTATTGCACGTCACATCACCGCCTCATACACACACACCAGTGCTGTCGTTCTCTCGTTTCGCTCTGTGCTCTCCGCGCTCCTCCTGTCGCTCTGTCTTATCCCTTCATCTATTATTCATCACACACCCGACAAACCATCACTACTCCTATTGCACCAGTAGCCTTCTTTATCTCTACCTCCTCCTCTATGATCACACCATCTCTTACTTCCTTCTTCTCAATCTACTCCTTGTACTCTTACTTGTGCATATGTCAGGATCCTTTACCTTAGATACTATCCTCTCTTCACTCTCCTCACTCTACCCTCATGTAGCTGTCTGTCGTAATGACATTATCTTGCATTTGCCGGGCTATGAGAAGTTGTCTTTATACATACATCGGGCGACTGGTAATTATTCTGGCATAAGATCAAATTGCCTTCTTTTTTCTGCTTAAGCCCGAACAACAGTGGGATGAACGCAACAGCATCGGGAATTAATCCTGACTAGCACTCCTACCATCCAGGCCGTGCCCAGATTTCAGTCATCTAGAACAGCGTGATTATATCATTGGCCACGTTTCTTGCTGTTTCTCGCAGGAACTGTATATCTGAAATATATCACGTGAGGGAACAAACGGTTATATCAAGGCATGACTTAGAAGACAACAGAATTCAAGTTGCTCGTTACTCACCTGCAATAGCGATAGAGACCGGTTTGTTGTTGTGTCAATCCCAGTACGATAAGCCCAAATAAGAGGTAAATGAGTCAACTTCCCAAGTTTTCCTACGACAGAGACAGAGAATTTCTACGCGGCCAGTGGAAGATGAGAGAAAATATATTATACTGATCAATAGCGAGGTGTAGACCGAAGAGGATTTATGATAAGGTCTATGGTTGCACTTTATTTAGTTTCGTGGCGGTACGTCTTTGACGTCTCTTCGAGGTATGCCATGTGGGTGAGACAACACACACACACAACACATCAACAGAAACACGCATGCGCTAGAGAGTATTAGTGTGAGGATGGTGCAGAGACAGAGGGTATATGGAGTTATAGATATATCAGTTGGGTAGTTATAGGGCCTAGGAGATTGATATGTATAATGTTTACACACAGCACAGAGTACACACACATTCACACTACACACACACTACATCAACACACATCACGACTCCAACACATATCAGCACACACAACAACACATATTATATATATAATTTATAGATATATGTATATCTATATTAAACACACACACTATAACTCACTACACACATCATATTCAATAATCACACACACCACCACACACTAACTACACACACAACAGCACAAACACATAATATATATATATATATATAAATATTAACATAGGGTGATTAGAATAATTATTACATAATATAGTAGTATATATATATTTAATATATAATAATATATATATATTACTACACACAACATAATATAATAATTTTATATTAATAGTTATATTTATATATTTAAATATATTAATATATAAGTTGCGTGTGTGTTAGTGCGCTAGAGCGTGTTTGTATAGTTGTTTGTTAGTTAGTAGTGTCATTATATGATGAATTATATTATAATATATAACATATGTTATATTAATATACTATAAAATGTATCAATTATTGTAATTAATATATAATTATATGTGTGTGTTTGTTATTGTTGTGTATGTGTGCTGATGATGTGTATAATCGTGGGCACACTGATCACGACTGCCTAGTGTACTGTGTGTGCTGATTGTCCGTGCCACAACAACCACCTACACATACACATACTACACATATACTATATATTATATATATATATATATATATATGTGTGTGTGTGTCTCACTGTTGGGATTGAGGCGGCGATAGGTATGTGTGTGATATATTATATATAAATATTATAATATGTGATGTAGTGGTGTGGCACTCGTAGCTACACGCATCACTGATGACGGACTGATCGCTAGTCTCCACGTGTGTTCTGTATAACTAATATAGAAAGGTAATAACGGGTAATAGTGATAATATGTAATATTACATATATATAACATATATACACTCACAGACACACACAAAACAAACACGCAAACCCACCGCTCGCGCACAGCACACACGCACTATATATATATATATATTATATAGATATATATATATATTATATTATTATATATATATATATATATATATATTGTGTGGTGTGTGTGTGTGTGTGTGTGTGTGTGTGTGTGTGTGTGTGTGTGTTGTATAATATAAATATATATATATATATATATTATATATTGACATATATATAACATATATACACTCACAGACACACACAAAACACGCAACACGCGCGCGCACACACGCACTATATATATATATATATATATATATATATATATATATATATATATATATATATATATGTGTGTGTGTGTGTGTGTGTGTGTGTATAATGCATGATTGTATGTACTTATTTTAACATTATTTTGACCATTCTGCCTTGTTTAGTTGTTGTTTTCAACAGAAAGTGGATAAACGCGACACGCCCACAATTATTTCCGTGTTCCCTCCCCAGATGGACGAGTGTACCAGGAAGGGAGGAATCTGCAGAGCTAAGGCTTTGAGTGGGTGCGAGAAGCAAAGGGGAAAGTGTGACGATGGAGGCGTCTGCTGCAAGAAACGTGAGAGAGATAGAGGGAAGGAGGGAGCGAAAGGGAGAGAGGGGGGGGAGTGAGAAGAGGAGAGAGAGAGATAGAGGGAAGGAGGAGCGAAGGAGGAGGGAAGAAGGGAAAGAGAGAGAGGGGGGAGTGAGAAAGAGAAGGAGACAGAGCGAAGGAGGGAGGAGGAAGGGAAAGAGAGAGGGAGGGGGGAGGGAGAAAGAGAAGGAGACAGAGCGAAGGAGGAGGGAGGAAGGGAAAGAGAGAGAGGGGTGGGGGAGTGAGAAAGAGAAGGAGACAGAGCGAAGGAGGGAGGGAGGAAGGGAAAGAGAGAGAGGGGTGGGGGAGTGAGAAAGAGAAGGGGAGAGAGCGAAGGAGGGAGGGAGGAAGGGAAAGAGAGAGGGGTGGAGGGAGTGAGAAAGAGAAGGAGACAGAGGAAGGAGGGAGGGAGGAAGGGAAAGAGAGAGAGGGGTGGGGGAGTGAGAAAGAGAAGAGACAGAGCGAAGGAGGGAGGGAGGAAGGGAAAGAGAGAGAGGGGTGGGGGAGTGAGAAAGAGAAGGAGACAGAGCGAGGAGGGAGGAGGAAGGAAAGAGGAGAAGGGGGGGGAAGTGAGAAAGAGAGGAGACAGAGCGAAGGAGGGAGGGAGAAGGGAAAGAGAGAGAGGGGGGGTGGGGGGAGTGAGAAAGAGAAGGAGACAAGAGGAGGGAGGAAGGGAAAGAGAGAGAGGGGGTGGGGGAGTGAGAAAGAGAAGGGGAGAGAGCGAAGGAGGGAGGGAGGAAGGGAAAGAGAGAGAGGGGTGGGGGGAGTGAGAAAGAGAAGGAGACAGAGCGAAGGAGGGAGGGAGGAAGGGAAAGAGAGAGAGGGTGGGGGAGTGAGAAAGAGAAGGGGAGAGAGCGAAGGAGGAGGGAGGAAGGGAAAGAGAGAGAGGGGGGGGAGTGAGAAAGAGAAGGGGAGAGAGCGAGGAGGGAGGGAGGAAGGGAAGAGAGAGAAGAGAGAGAGGATGAGAAAGGAAGGGAGAGAGCGAAGGAGGGAGGGAGGAAGGGAAAGAGAGAGAGGGGTGGGGGAGTGAGAAAGAGAAGGGAGAGAGCGAAGGAGGGAGGAGGAAGGGAAAGAGAGAGGGGGGGGGTGAGAAGAGAGGAGACAGAGCGAAGGAGGAGGAAGGAAGGGAAAGAGAGAGAGGGGTGGGGGAGTGAGAAAGAGAAGGGGAGAGAGCGAAGGAGGGAGGAAGGAAGGGAAAGAGAGAGAGGGGTGGGGAGTGAGAAAGAAAAGGGGAGAGAGTGAGGGAGGGAGGGAAATAAAAAGAGAGAAAGAGAGTAAAAAGGGAGAGAGAGATGGAAAAAGAAAGAGAGAGATAAGTGTGTATATGTATGTGTATCTATGTATATCTGATTGTGTGTTTATGCATATGTGTATGTTTGTGTGGGTGTGCGTGTACATGCGTGTGTGCTTGCCCTATGTGTTTCCGAATGTACGTACATATATGTGTTTTATATAATACATAATGGTATATTGTCTATTTCTTCACAGACCATTCGTCCACAAGGAGATTGTGTCGACAGAGAAGCAGCTGCACCAAGCAAGGAGGCAGATGCATACAGCGGGATGAAACTTGCTCCACAATATCCAGTGATGACCTCTGCAAGGGTTTCAGTTGCAAATGCTGTCTGGGGAGTAAGTAGTTCGTAGATCTGTGTGAAAAAAAATGCATACACAGAAATTTTTATATCTTTCGTTTTCCCTCTCTTTCTCTCTTACATATACACATGCATTTACTTGTATGTATGTATGTGTGTGTATATATATATATATATATATATATATATATATATATATATATATATATATATATATATATATATATACACACATGAATCTATATGCCTATGTGCGTGTGTACATATACAATGTATATGTTTACACATATGTCATATGTCATATGCTTACATATATGTTTGGGTGTTTATATCTACATATAACTGTATACACATCTACACCTTCTTTGCATGCATTTTTTTTTTTTTTTATCTCTCTAGTTTTTCCATCACCATTTATTCATTTATTCCTTCGTATATTTTGCATATACATATACACACACTCTTCTTGTTTGTATCTTTGCTGTCTATCAACCTACTGACTGCTCAATCTACCTACCCAGTTACCTCTCCTTTGGAATTTGTTAATTTATCATTTATTCATTTATTTATCTTATAGATAATTATTCTGGCGCCATCACTCCAAGCTGCCATCTATCATTTATTCATTCAATTTATCTTACAGACAATCCTTCTTGCGCCATCACTCCAAGTTGCCATCTATCATTTATTCCTTTATTTATCTTACAGACAATCCTTCTTGCGCCATCACTCCAAGTTGCCATCTATCATTTATTCATTTACTTATCTTCCAGACAATCCTTCTTGCGCCATCACTCCAAGCTGCCATCTCCAGGGAGGATTCTGCTTCAAGAAATCTGGAAAGGATTCATGCGCAGACGGCACCGTGATAAAAAACGGGTGTCTTGGTAAAAGATGCGCTTGTTGCATTCCAAAGAAAGGTCAGCCAATTTGCTCTTCACGGTCCGCGAATATAGTCCTTCTAGGCTATATTTTAGATGCTGTTTTTAATGGAACTTATATACTTCCCATTAAATATTCTTAAAAGTAGTGTCAGAACAAGAATATGCATGTATATATATATATATGTATATATATATATATATATATATATATATATATATATATATATATATATATATATATATATAACTGAGCCTGTCACATTCTAAAGAAAGGTCAGCCGATCTTAACTTTACGGTCCGCGAATAGAGTCTATACATTAGGTACTGTTTTTTTGTGAAACTTATATACTTCCCCTTAAATGCCATTCTAAAAAGTACTGCCAGAGCAAGAAAGGTAATATATAATGATAATGATGATAATAATAATAAAAATGATAATAAGGTCCCTAAGGTAGACGAGGGCATGTGCATGTGAAGTTCCAAGCCCGATGAAAGCTCGAATAGGCTCTGTGATCTTTGGGGAGAACATACGTCATTTAGAATAAACCTCGTATTTTCGTATTCTAGTGAATTCATGTTACGTGTGAAATGTCTCTCTCTCTTCTCTCTCTCTCTCTCTCTCTTCTCTCTCTCTCTCTCTCTCTCTCTCTCTCTCTCTCTCTCTCTCTCTCTCTCTCTCTTTCTCTTTCTATCTCTCTATCTTTATCTATTTATATATGTCTCTCTCTCTCTCTCTCTCTCTCTCTCTCTCTCTCTCTCTCTCTCTCTATATTATATTATATATATATATATATATATATATAATATATATATATATATAGATAGATATAGATATAGATATAGATATATGTATATATAATTATATATATACATATATATGCATGTATGTATGTATGTATGTGTATATAGAAGGGAAAGACAGAACCACAGAACCAAAAGCTCAACTTAGCAGTGTTATGCGCGTGTGTTTATGGGTGTGTGTGCTTTTCCACATGTGCTTCCCTGCAAACACACACGCACTTGCACGACCTATTTATCACAGTTATGTATTCAGTGTCCGTAGTCGTGAGCCGCCCCAGGTTGAAATACCGCAACACGTGTGTGTCTATGTGGTGTGTGTGTGTCTATGTGTGCTTTCTAGAGAAAGGAAGGGGAGTCATAGAGAAAGGTAGATGATATATATGAAAAAAAAAAAAATACTGCACCATTTTTAAGACTGATTAATAATCAATCCAAAAGAGAAACGAACTGGCTCGACAGAATAAAAAGGAGAAATGACCTTTCATTTTTCAAGACCTCAAACTTTCCCTCCTTAACTTTTGTAATTCTCATATGAATTTATTTCCTGAAAGATTGCTAGAAACAAGTGAAAAGATATAAAGTGTTACAGTTATGTTTCACACAATCATTTGCGAAACTAACTTTTTTTCTTCTTCTCTTTTCTTTTCTCAGCCTTCACAGTATTTCGCGCAGCCCGCCCCCCCTCCTCCCCCAAAGGAAAAAATGTAGTATTTTCTAATAATAACCCCAGGAAGGCCAGTGGGGCCTCATTTTGAATCTCTATGATATAACCAAAAATGCATTTGGACCAGTGCTCGGGAAAGTATGTTATGATATATACTTGAGAAACAAACTTTCCGTTTGGCCCTGAGAATTAGTCCCCCCCCCCCCCCCCCAAGCCTGATTCTTTGTGCCAATCAGCTGTTTAATCATCAAACTATTCAGGGTAGAATAATCAGAGTGGGACCTCAAAGGGTTTTGAAGCTTTGAATCTTGTTATTGGGTCATTCCATATGAATTCAACAAGAGTTAGATAACAATATTTCCTCATTGCTTGGGATTTTGTTCAAATAAAAAAGTAATAATAGTAATCACTCTCTTTCTCTGCATATATATATATATATATATATATATATATATATATATATATATTATACTTATATGTATGATATACATACGTGTGTGTGTGTTTGCTTGTGTGTAGACATACATAATAATATATCCTCTACAGTCTCGTTTCTTCCCCAGACAAGTGTCGCTGCGGAGTGAGCAACGGCGACCGCATCATCGGAGGGACGGAGGTGTCCCCACCCTTCAGATATCCCTGGCTCGTCGCCATCTACGATATTGAGAATCTGAAGGAGCCCTTCTGCGGCGGGAGCATCATCAACACCCGCTACGTCGTCACGGCCGCGCACTGTATGTTTACGCGGGAGAACGAACCCATCCCCGCATCCAAGTTTCGAGTGAAAGTCGCCGAGCACGACGTGGCTTCTGAGGACGACGACGTCGAAGGAGTCACGCGGATGCTGGCCCTGGAGAGCTACGTCTTCCATGAAGGCTACACAGAGAACTACTTCAACCTGGACATCGCCCTCCTGCGTCTGGAGGAGGCCCTGGACCTCACGTCGCACCCGGAGGTCCGACCCGTGTGCCTACCTTCGGACCCGACGAAGGTCTACGAAGGACAGACCGGGAAAGTCGTCGGCTGGGGAGACACGACCAATGGCGACAAGAAGTACCCCGACATCGTTCGGGAAGTCGACTTACCCATCGTCGAGTGTGGGCGCAAGGAGATAGCCGGTGTTTTGATCACACCTTTCATGCTGTGCGCAGGTTTTAAGAAAGGCGGGAAGGACAGTTGTTCTGGCGACTCGGGAGGCCCTCTGACGGTGGAAGAAGACGGGAGGTTCACCTTGGTGGGGATCGTCTCTTTCGGCGAGGAGTGCGCCAAACGGAATGTTCCAGGCGTCTACACGCGCATCACTGAGCTTTTGGAATGGATTAGCAGCAATACTGCTGAAGTATCTTACTGTCAATAGATTTTAAGTGAGGGGTTTATTGTTATGAGTTGTAGAACTGTTATACACACATATATGTGTGTGAAGTCTGCCCTCCTTTGATATAAGCTGTATTATGATTGACGTTGACCAAATAAATACATACTAAATCAGGCCCATTTTTGTTTCATGGAAAACGCTAATGACTGCGTATGAGGACGTGCAATTTGCCAAAAGAATTAGTGTGAATTGATGTCTGACAATCAGGCAGACCTTAGAAGGAGCCTGGTTGAGAACAATGGATTGCTGTCAGACCTAAAAAAGAGTAGAGTACAAGAACTATTATTTCAGACTTCAGAAGGAAATGGATAGGCTCATGGAAGTTTTTTTTTCACACATATCCTATCATCACAACCACTCGTATTTTCAAAAGGATGGGTAAGCCAACACGGGATCTCACAAGTGGACCGAGACTCCGATTACAAGACTTCGTATCCCAAATTGGATGAACATGGCCAGTTCTTTACCCAACTGTTGATAACGCAACTGAGAGGGCAGCTACAACTGAGTATGGTGTTGAACATTGGACAACCATTATGTCATCTATTATCTAAATAAAGATGTCTGGGATCTTAGTGCAGAAATCAATGAGTTTATCTCTTTAAAACTACTAAAATCCAGAACCTTCCATGGGGCTTCGTTCCCTGTTCCCTCATCGGGGCGTTACTCCTGGACCCCACCAGCAGGACCCCGGCTATGACTCAAGGGTCCGAAAGGCTTACAAAGAAATTTACAAAAAATATTTGGATAATTTCATGAAAGGAATCACTATGTATTTCTTTACTCTAAAAATGCATAATTCTTTTACATGAATTACTACATGGACTTCAAGCGACAAATAACATCGTAAAAAGAATTTGCATTCTATCTTATCCAAGATTTTTTTAACACAAATCCCAAATATGTATTACAAATGCATCTGTTTTCACTGTTGGTAGTAAGATGCATCAGCTGATCCGCTGATCAATGACTCACGTACACACTTGGCATAAGAACATTTTCTGGCCAAAGGAATTATTCCTCAACTCTTCAAAAGTTCAGTTCCTCTTCAATATCTAAAAATCTCGAGTATTTCAACTAATCTTCAAAGTTTCAGCTTCTCTTAAAAATCTCAACTCTTCAAAAGTTCAGTTCTTTATCAAAATCTTAACATCCTGAATATTTCAGTTAATCTTCAAATTCAAAGCTTCAAAATTTTAGCTTCTCTTCAAAAGTTCAGTTCTCTTCAAACTTTCAGCTCTTCAAAATCTATAACTCTAGATATTTCAACTAATCTTCAAATTACAAACTCTTCAACATTTCAACTTCTCATCAAAATCTTAACTCTTCAAAAGTTCAGTTCCTCTTCAAAATCTAAAACTCTTGAACATTTCAACTCATCTCCAAATTCAAGACTCTTCACAATTTCAGCTGTTCAAAATCTTAACACTTCAAACGTTCAGTTACTCAATATTTCAACTTCTCTTGTATACGTGTGTCTGTATAGAATCGTGGTAGGTTGTGTACATACGTATACATACATCAACTGAGAAACATCATATTGGGAATGTATACAATTTTTGTTTTACCGTCGATATAACATATGTTTGTCGTTAATTCATACTTCCGTAACAAGAGGAAAAAAATGGAAAAAATATAAAAGAATATATATATATCCAGATGAAAATGTAGATAATCGTTTTATTAGTTCATTGACCTGCAAGGCTATTTTTGTATTTTTTCATATATATATTTATTTTCTGTGTGTGTGTGTGTGTGGAGGGAGATACCGTGAGACAGACATTAAAAAATGGGTAGACAGGGAGATACCGAGAATAAGAGAGACGGGGAGAGAGCTAGAATGAGACAAAGAAAAAAGATAGGGAGAGCGAGAGAAAGTCAGAGAGATAGAGGAAAAGAGAGGATAAAGGGAGTGGGAGAAACTTTAAAGAAAGAGGAAGACAGAAAGTTTAAGAAAGGGAGAAAAATGAAAAAAATACTTTTTTTTTGGGGGGGGGCAAAAGACAGGCAGACAGAAAAGAGATTAGGAGACAAGGGGATACCAAGAATGAGAAAGAGAGAGACAGTGAGAAAGAGAAAGGCAGAGACAGGGAGAGAGCGAGGAAGAGAGGGGGAGAGCGAAAGGATAAAGAGAAGAGAAGAAACCGAAAGAAAAAGGGAAGAAGGCAGTAAAAGAGACAAAGAGAGAGAAAGATGGGGGAGGAGAAACAGAAAGAAGAAAGTGGGAAAATGAGTGAGAGAAATTTGGCGGAAGGAAAGAAAAACTAGGAAAAGCAACTTTATCTTCGTGATCAGGATTGCTTCCTTTTTTTCTCCAAATTTCTAAACTAGATTTTCAGAGGAAAAAAAAAACGTATTCAAAGAAATTTTAGAATGGAATGTTTAGTTCTTATATTTAGTAAAGGCCACATCAATACATGTATCCAGTACTCTTCTTTCTAGGCACTTCCCCACACACACAAAAAAGGAATAAAATATAAGTATATTAAATAAATGTCAAGGAAAATCATTATGGACCACTCTGATTCGCATAAGCTGACATTTCACAATTCACTTGTTTACTGTTTCAAAACCCTGCGATTTTTTATTTTTTAAATTTACTAATATTTGCTACTTTCAACGCCTTTTTCTTATTTATTTTCAGGAGAAGAAAGTACGAATTCACTGCAATCAACTGTCCCAATAAACCCTATTATCATAACGATATCATTACAAACTTGAAGTCAACTGAGGCACGCTAAGTTTTTAAGTATTGTCAGCTGTGAAGGTCTCACTTAAAATCTATTGACAGTAAGATACTTCAGCAGTTTTGCTGCTAATCCATTCCAAAAGCTCAGTGATGCGCGTGTAGACGCCTGGAACTTTCCGTTTGGCGCACCCATCGCCGAAAGAGACGATCCCCACCAAGGTGAACCTCCCGTCTTCTTCCACCGTCAGAGGGCCTCCCGAGTCGCCAGAACAACTGTCCTTCCCGCCTTTCTTAAAACCTGCGCACAGCATGAAAGGTGTGATCAAGTAACCGGCTATCTTCTTGCGCCCACACTCGACGATGGGTAAGTCGACTTCCCGAACGATGTCGGGGAACTTCTCGTCGCCATTGGTCGTGTCTCCCCAGCCGACGACTTTCCCGGTCTGTCCTTCGTAGACCTTCGTCGGGTCCGAAGGTAGGCACACGGGTCGGACCTCCGGGTGCGACGTGAGGTCCAGGCCTCCTCCAGACGCAGGAGGGCGATGTCCAGGTTGAAGTTCTCTTGTAGTCTTCATGGACGACGTAGCTCTCCAGGGCCAGCATCCGCGTGACTCCTTCGACGTCGTCGTCCTCAGAAGCCACGTCGTGCTCGGCGACTTTCACCCGAATCTTGGATGCGGGGATGGGTTCGTTCTCCCGCGTAAACATACAGTGCGCGGCTGTGACGACGTAGCGGGTGTTGATGATGCTCCCGCCGCAGAAGGGCCTCCTAAATTCAGAGTCTCGTAGATGCCGACGAGCCAGGGATATCTGAAGGGTGGGGACACCTCCGTCCCTCCGATGATGCGGTCGCCGTTGCTCACTCCGCAGCGACACTTGACTGAGGAAGAAACGAGACTGTAGAGGATATATTATGTATGTCTACACACAAGCAAACACACACACACGTATGTATGTATATCATACATATAAGTATATATATATACATACACACATATATGCAGAGAGTGATTACTATTATTACTTTTTTATTTGAACAAAATCCCAAGTAATGAGGTAATATTGTTATCTAACTCTTCTTCAATTCATATGGAATAACCCAATAACAAGATTCAAAGCTTCAAAACCCTTTGAGGTCCCACTCTGATTATTCTACCCTGAATAGTTTGATGATTAAACAGCTGATTGGCACAAGAATCAGGCTAGGCAAAATACTGTGAAGGTTGAGAAGAGAAAAAAAAAATGTTAGTTTCGCAAATGATTGTGTGAAACATAACTGTAACACTATATCTTTTCACTTGTTTCTAGCAATCTTTCAGGAAATGTTTTTGTTTCAGAAATGAATGAGAATTACGAAAGTCAAAGAGGGAAAGTTTGAAGTCTTGAAAAATGAAAGGTCATTTTTCCTTTTTATTCTGTCGAGCCAGTTCGTTTCTCTTTTGGATTAATTATTAATCAGTCTTAAAAATGCCGCAGTGATTTTGTTTTTTCATATATATCCTCTACCTTTCTCTATGGCTCCCCTTCCTTTCTCTAGAAGGCACAGAGAAGGAGAGGGGGTAGAGAGAGAGACAGACAGACAGAGAGGGAATGGAGAAAAAGACAAAGACACAGACTAGGGGTTGGGGTGGGGGAGGGGGGGGGCTAGGGTGTCGACTGTAGCACAGAACGAAGGCTTGCGGTCCTTCAACCCAGGGTGGCTCACGACTACGGACACTGAATACTTAAGTGTGATAAATAGGTCGTGCGTGTGCGTGTGCGTGTGCGTGCAGGGAAACACATGTGGAAAAGCACGCACACACAAACAAACAAACACACGCGCATAACACTGCTGTGTAAGTCGAGCTTTTGCTTTAGTAGTTCTGTCTTTCCTTCTGATTTTCACTGGTTCCCATTTTCTGGTAGTTATCGTTTTCTTAATGTATATACATATATGCATTTATATATACACACATACATACATACATATATATATATATATATATATATATATATATATATATATATACATACATATATATATATATATATATATATATATATATATATACATATATATATTATAAATATATATATATACATATATATATATATATATATATATATATATATATATATATAGAGAGAGAGAGAGAGAGAGAGAGAGAGAGAGAGAGAGAGAGAGACATATATATATCTATAGATAGATAGAGAGAAAGCGAGAGAGATAGAGAGAGAGAAAGAGAGATATATAGAGAGAGATTTCACAAGTAACATGAATTCACTAGAATACGAAAATACGAGGTTTATTCTAAGTGACGTATGTTCTCCCCAAAGATCACCGAGCCTATTCGAGCATTCATCGGGCTTGGAACTTCACATGCACATGCCCTCGTCTGCCTTA